ATATATATATATATATATATATATATATATATATATATATATATATATATATATATTATATATATATATATATATATATAATATATATATATAATATATAAATGTCTTATTTGACTCAACTGATGTCATCTTGCCATATCCCCAGAAGTTTTGTTTGTTATCATCAATCTTAATTTGTTGACTTTATTGATATATATTTTGATATGACTAACGATATAACATAACATTTGACGAAGAGAGTGCGCAGATGATATAAAATTTTTATTTATTAACCTAAATCGGGCAAATGGAACAAGAACCATCACGAAATGCATGACATTTACGGCAGTGAAAGGAATAAAATGCTGTGGCCGCCTTTCCAAATTACGATGACAAATAGCTACCTGCTAAACAAAATATCCGCTCTTTCTTGCTAACCATTTTCATTGTGCATTAAGTTGTTACTTAAGTATTAGTATTTGAATAAAGTTTTAAAACAGTGTTAACGCCATGCTTGGCTAAATACAGACAAAACAAGACGGAATAAGTAGCACACAAAGTACTGTAATGGAATATTCTGAGAGAATCATGGCTTTGTGAACATTATATTGTTCAATGTCTCTAGTAGTGATTTATTTTTAGTTCGCAGTTTTCACATACAAACAGTTCAAAATTACATACATCAGTAATTCGAAAATCGCTTGTTCTAATCCTGTACGTGCAGGTCCTAAAATGGCACAAGACTAGTCTGACAAAATCGCTTCTGATAATCGCATCCTGACAACACATTCTTACTTATTCCCATATTCTACGGATACCCTGCGTTAAAACATCTATTATGTCAATTGGAGATCCATTCTCAGTGCAGCTTAATTGTAGTTGGATGGCGTTTACAGACTGCCCTATGATTAAACGTTTACTGAAGTCCATTCCATTCTGATCGACAATTATCGGTCGAACTCTGTGATTCCATAACATCTTCGTGTGGCTTTTCTCCGTCTTCGTACTTTTTATTGCGTACCTATATGGGATAGAATAAAACATTTCACAAAATCAACATGGCTAATACGGCATACGAATAAATAATCACTACAAAAACATGACTTGGTTTTACTATAGAGCGAGAAATAAAACGTTGAAATCCGCGATTGACATATAATGTTTTCTATTGGTTTGTTTTCACGGGAGCAGAACATACTGGAATACTGAAAGAATCACATGTTTCTCAAATTTGCAGCAGATTTAAAGCATTCTTAAACGGATTTTCGTGGCGAAACTTGCGATGTTTCGTTTGTATTATCAGGGACTGGATTCATCATAGAACGATTACAGTTATTATCAACTGAAAGGTATTACCTGTTCTACCCATTCGAAGACTTGTAGTAAATTTTTGCCAACCAGAAGTTCCACTTCCTCATCGGCCCACCCCCGACTGATCAGCTCCATAATCAAGGCTGGGTATTTTGAAGTGTCTTCGAGTCCTGTTGCTGGCCTAGAAGCGATAATTCATTGTTGTTATGAACAGCATACGTTAGAGGTTCAAATACTGAAAGGTGGTGGACGTCGTGTCACGCTATTTTCGATATTGGGCTCATAACGCAGGGGCGGATACAGGATTTTTTTATGGGGGGTCCAAACTTTAAAATCGCCAGACTAAGTCAATGATTTTTTTATATTATACAAAAACAAATTGAATAATTTTTTCAACGGGGCGGGGGTACGAACCCCAAGAACCACCCCCTAAATCTGTCACTGCGTGGAGCTAGAAAGGGCTCCCTGTCGTTCAAACAGTGTCATGTTTCTTTGGAAATTAACGTGAACAAACAAACGAACAATGTATTTTATACGCGTTGTGTACGTTGATATGAGTCCCATATCGAACAGGGAGCTGCACGACGACTACCACACAAAGTGCCTGTGCAATGCCCACCCACACGCTTCTCATTTTAGATCTGTGCCCCACTGAAATGGGCAGTTATTGATTTTTTTGCTGAAAATGATTACTCGTATCCATGTAAATTTG